TGCAAAGGCTTCCTGATCCATTCGCATTTCCCTTTTTCCTTTCTATTCCAATTCTCAGTAAGAAATGGACGTCTTTCTACACTGTTGGAAAACTCGCATCTAAAGTTCACCATCCAAAAGTTAAGATTATTCCTCAAATTTGGGTCCAAAACACACTGCAGAAATAATTCAGTTTGAGGCCGCTTCAACCGCCCCCCTGGGTCAATGGTAGGGAATTCTGGGAACTGTGCCACAACAAACTACAATTCCCAGGATTCCCTAGCACTGAGCCAGGGCAGTTAAAGCGGCCTCAAACTGGATTATTTCTGCAGCGAGTTCGAGATCTTTGCCAATGCAAAACAGGGCCACAAGTCCTTGCTACTCTTAAAATTGCATTTTAATGGCTGCATCCACATTGTAGAAATAATCCAGTTTGACATCACTTTAACTTCCATGACTCAATGTTATGGACTTCTGGGATACGTAGTTTATCGTGGCACCAGAGCTCTCTGTTAGAGAAGGCAAATTGTCTCCCAAAACGACAGCTCCCAGAATTCCATAGCATTGAGCCAGGGCAGTTAGAGCGGTGTCAGACCGAATTATTTCTGTAGTGCAGATGCTATATATCCAGGAGATGCACTTTGTTATATGGATGGATGCTATATATCCTCCATCCATATAGCAAAGTGCAGGGACATCCAAAATCCACAAAAAGAGTGATACCTTTATTGGACTAACCAAAAGGCACAAAATAAGGGGGAGTGTGGGGGGGGGGAAATTCGTGTTTGATTTTTAACCCATTTGCCTGAGGAAGAAACCAGTGTAGCTTCGAAAGATTACAACATGTATTTTGTGCATATTAAAAATTCCAGTTTTGTGGATTTTGGATGTTATTGTACTATGTTTTATATATTTACTAATGAACGGATTGTGGATTTTGGATGTTATTGTACTTGCTTTGTGGATGTTGGATACTATTGTAATGTTATATGTACTGATGAAGGGGTTGTAGATTTTGGATGTTATTGTACTTGCTTTGTGGATGCTGGATGTTATTGTACTAGGTTATATATATGTACTGATGAAGAGGGTGTGGATTTTGGATGCTATTGTGCTTGCTTTGTGGATTATGGATATTACTGTACTAGGTTATATATGTACTGATGAAGGGATGGTGGATTTGGATGTTATTGTACTTGCTTTGTGGATGATGGATGTTACTGTACTAGGTTATATATGTTCTGATGAAGAGATTGTGGATTTTGGATGTTACTGTACTAGGTAATATATGTATTTAAGAAGGGATTGAATGTTATTGTACTTGCTTTATGGATGTTGAATGTTACAACAGATGAAGGGATTGTGGATTTTGGATGCTGTTGTACTTGATTTGTAGCTGTTTGGATACTATTGTACTGTTATATGTACTGATGAACGGAGCACGTGTCTTTTAATAATCTAACACCGGTCCATTATGTGAAAGTGTAACAACAGAAGCCATAAATTGTTTTTTCAAAATTAATTTTTTTATATTTAAAAAAGAAAAGCTAACGTGGTTCCACTGGGGCTCGAACCCAGGACCTTCTGCGTGTAAAGCAGACGTGATAACCACTACACTATGGAACCTCACGGCGATTGGTTCTCATTTTCTTCCCTATGAGGAATAAAGTCATCCTTTAAAAATGTTACACGTGTTCCTTTCACATTTAGAAGAAGACAGGAAGTGATGAAGAAATAAATAGAGGAGAAACCTCGCAAACCTAAAACTAAATAAATAAATAAATAAAATAAAACAGCCCTTATGAAGAATGGCAGGAAGGGAAACGGGAAAGCATAGATCAGGAAGATTCAGTACTTTACTTGCTATGCAAAAATAAATAAATAAAAATAAAACATCCCATGCAGCATCTCAAATGGCAAATGGGAAGTAATGGAAGAAGAGGAAGATCCGTAGTAAGTTCTTCTCGTAGGTGGAAGAATTGACCATGGGCAAGGCACACTCTCTCAGCCTCAGGGGAAGCTCCTCTTTTTCCTCTCATGTGGAAAATCATGCCAAGAAAGCCCCATGACTAGAGTCACCTTAGGGCTGCCATAAACCACAAAAGACTTGAAGACGCACACAAATACAACATTTAGAACT